CTCCCCCTGTTTCCCAAATCTGAGAGCGGTACTTTCCAGAAATGAAACCAGTTCATCTTCCAACCACAAGCAACCGTTGTGACTTCTCAACGCTTCTTCTTTAACCATAATCACATAAATGCAGGGCAGAACCCAATACCCAGATCCTTCCGGTGTGCCCAGGATGGATAAGCCATGAGCCCCCTATTTCAACTATACTCACTTGTGAGATTTTTTTTTAGGGGATGTTCTCAACTGAGAGGGAGAACAGGCCCAGTGTGGATGCTTGGCATTGGCTGCAGTCAGACCTACACTCCTCACATTTAGCCCCCACCAGATTTCCAGAGGACCACACTATGCCAGCCTGCAGCCCCTTCAAGGATGGCACAAAACATGTCAATATCTGATTTTGGCTTTGGTTTGTGTTGCATTCAGGGGAAATTGACACCTTGGTTAGCCCTTAATCAGTTTTGGTGTCCAAAGAACCATTTGGGGGATGTTTATGAAATAAGAAGCAGATTTTTTTCCCTATCAAAATCTAATCTTTTTTTTTTTTTTTTTAAGTATCTCCTCCCTTATTTCTTAGGCATAAAGGAAACCTGTCATTTTAGTCTCCTCAAAGGGGCTGGGACATGCCAAGAATTTGATTTGAGAGGGGAAACATAGCCTTGCTGAGGGCTCTGAGACAGAAGGTAATCCTGTCATCTTATGGCTAGCTAGGAGCTGGCACCCTGTGCCAGGATGTTGCCACTGTGGAAGTAAGGCTGAGGCTCAGCTGTCTCTTCATGTAAGGGAGAGAAACCGAGGCAAGTCCCCCAGGCCTGTTAGTGGAGAGGGAGTCAGAGGCTGCGGATTCTGGATTGGGGTTACCTGGTCTCTCCTGATTCTTGTCTCTCCCTCCCTCACTTCCTATCTTTCTTCCAGCCTACCTACCCTTCCTTGTTTTTTTGTGTTATTTTTTTGTATATGGAGGATCAAGTCAGGACCCATGAAGTCTGCAGAGTCTTTGTGAATAACTTTGGTCAGAGGTGGCCAGAAAGAATGTAGAATTGACCAAAATGAGTGGTTGGATTCTCACACCAAATTCCAGGATTCTGGGTGCTTCCTAGCCCTGCGAGTGAGTACTGGGAGCAAAGTACCGTGTATGATTATTGCCTTTGGGATTGGATTCCTACTGTAGCTCATTGAATAGGGTAGGATATGATGGGTGATGGGAACTGACATAAAATGGGCGTGGTTAAAATTGTTTCTAGGAGATAGTAGAATCCTTTACCCCAGGTTTCAAAGACTTTGTCCAGAAACAAACAAAAAAAGTTATTGAGGACACCAGGGTCAGGTCTGCCATCTCCTTTACTCTCCATCCCTGAAAAAGAGCTAAAACAGCAAAACACCCTGTAGGTGTCTAGGCCAGCGTCCCAGCAACCTCAGAGGGTGTTCCTGGTGCAAGAAGGCTGTGAGCCTCAGTGAACAGAAGACTGATTTAGGACAAGGAGACTTTAATTTAGGTCTAGGACTGCTGCTGACTTACTGGATAATGGAGTCTAATCAGAGACTAAGCTTCTTTGTATCTTAGTTTTCCTTATCAGTCTTTCCCTAGCCCCTGTTAGAGCTGATGGATTAATGAAAGATTATAAAACACAAAAGTACTATAAAAACACAAGATGGCACTTACTGATTGGAGTAAGGAAAAAAAATCTAAAGGAGATTTTGCAGTGACTTCAGCTGAGAGAGTGGAGAGGTGGCTCTGGGGAATCTTCTCCCTGTTGCTTTTTTCTCAGCCCTGGAGTCGCAGTCTTCTTCCTTCAAAACAATGATGAAGTGGCCTTTAGGATGAAGACATTCCAGCCTTTATGCCAGTCACGAGCTCATCTATTTCCCCCTGCCTCTGGTTATCTGTCACGTAACTCTGGAAATCTGCTTTCCAGAATCCCTGCCTCATCATTGGGCTCTAAAAGACAGTTTGGAGGCCCATAGGACAGCATTCTGGTGTCCAAGCTGGCTACTGACGTAGGCCAGAAGCTCACTTGCCAGCCCTGTGCTGTAGTGAGTGTGGGGGAAACAAAGATAAATCAGAGCCAGTACGTGGCCTCAGGTTGTTTATTATCTAGGAGTTACAAATATCTGGAAGCCAAGAGAGAGGGTGGTAAGTACCAAAAGAGTTCAAAGTCCTGAGGAAGCTGAGAAAACTCTGAGGCATTCCTTCCAGGAGATACCAAGGGTTCCAGAAGGCTGGGTGGAGGTGGAGGCAGTTAGGCTGACCCTGACAGGAGGTCAGAACTCAACCCTGGGCACATGTGCAAAGTCTCAGGGAAGAGAAGGCTTGAGACATGGGTGGGAAATGGTGTGTAGTATGGTTTGTTCCAGGATCTAGAGACCTTGAGGAGTGAGGTGTAAAGGAAAGGTAAATGGGACCAGAGCATGAAGCCTTTGACTCTCATCTTTGAAAGTCTTTGAAGAGTTTTAACATAAAAATGTTAAGATAATTTAAAATGATATGTTGTAGGTCAATATATATTGATTTGGAAAGATGTTTATGATATAAGGTGAAAACACAATATGTATAGTAGGGTCCCATTTTTTATTTTAAACGTGTATATGTGCATACATACCGAAGGGAAGGTATACAAGGATATATATCTCATAGTATTGACAGTAGTTATCTCTAGGTGTTGAGATTCGAGGGTTTTTTTCTTTTTGTTTATATTTATATATTTCCTAATTTTTCTACAATTCACACTTACTACTTTTGTAATTATGAGTCATTTTGAACTTGTTTTAAATGAGTACATATTATATGGCTGGGGGAGATCACCTAGAAATATGTCAGGGATTGGATAAAAACTAAGAGTAAAAGTTGTCCATGCCATAACATTTATGATATCCAAATTGGAGGGAACCCTTCAAATGTTCAATAATGTGGGAATGGCTAGGCAAGCTACTGTATATCAACCTGGTGGAATACCATACAGCCTTTAAAGATGAATATGAAAATTGTTAATCGTTGGAAATGGGCATATGAAATGCGTAGAATGAGGCAGAACATAATGTAGTACATTTCATATTGCTAAGTTTTTTGTTTTTTTTTTTTTGTCCATTTTGAGACCGGCCGCACCGCGCTCAGCCAGTGAGCACTGTGAGCGCACCGGTCATCCCTATATAGGATCCGAACCCATGGCGGGAGCGCTGCCACGCTCCCAGCGCCGCACCCTCCCGAGTGCGCCACGGGCTCAGCCCAGTACATTTCATATTGATCAAAATGTATGCAAGAGCTGGCCCTGTGGCTCACTCGGGAGAGTGTGACGCTGGTAGCGCCAAGGCCGTGGGTTCGGATCCTATATAGGGATGGCACGTTTGCTCACTGGCTGAGCATGGTGCAGACCACACCATGCTGAGGATTGTGATCGCCTTACTGGTCCAAAAAAAAAAATTATGTAAATTCTTAAATGAATTTGGAGAATGTAGGTAATATTGTTAGTGTCTTTTAAATTATTATTCTGGTAAAATGTAAATAATGTAAAATTTACCATTTTAAACATTTTAAGTTTACAATTCAGTGGCATTAAGTACATTCACAGTGTTATGCAGCCATAACCACTATCCATTTCCAGAACTTTTTCATCATTCCAAACAGAAACTCTGTACCCATTAAACAATAATTGCCATTCCCCCCTTCTCCTAAGCCCCTGGTAACATCTATTCTTTCTGTCCCTATTAATTTGCCTATTCTAGGTACCTCATATAAGTGAAATCATACAATATTTGTCTTTTTGTATCTGGCATATTTCACTTAGCATCATCTGTATTGTAGCATGTGTCAGAATTCCCTTCCTTTTTGACTGAATAATATTCCATTGTATAGATATATCACATTTTGTTTATCCATTTATCTGTCAATGGAACTTGGGTTGCTTCCACTGTTTGGCTATTGTGACTAATGCTGCCTTGAACATGGGTGTGCAAATATCTCTCCAAGTCCCTCCTTTCAGTTCTTTGGGGGTCTATACCTAACATGGAGTGCTGGGTCATATGGTAGTTTCTATGTTTAACTTTTTAAGGAACTGCCAACCTTTTAGTGTCTTTTTAATGTAAAGCTCTTCAAGTTTATTTATACCTACAGTCCTCAGTTCTTCTTGCTGTGTTTAATATACATATGAATTATCATGGGATTACCCCCAATGTGAAAACATTCTGTTGTGTTTTAAAAAAAAGAGCCTTTATAGATCTTAAGATAGTAGAGTATTTTGGATATGGCCATGGAAAACAGGATCAATCCAGATGATTCCAGAATGCTTACATTTTATCAACAGTTTCATCTTTTACCTTCTCCTAGAAAGCTTTAACCAAAGTAAAAATAAAATGAATTGATATATAATTGCTTTATTTTTAATCTCATTTAGATAGAAGTCAGAGACAGAGGAGAGAACAAAAAGACTTGGATATTTTCCTAAACTGGATTCCTCAATCCTGCATAGTTGAAAATAATTACATTGTTTTCTTCATCTCAGTCACCTAGATTCCCTGGAGCTAACTAGTCCTGAAGGAAGTATGAAGAGTCCTTCAGTTAATTGGGTTGAATTTGTGCTGTGCATAAGAGCCCTGCAATGGGTGCTGGAGGGAGGAAGAAGGGCAGGAGATCAAAGATGTAAGAAAATTTGGGTTTTGTCCACTTAGAATTCCCTCTTTAGTGATGGGCAACAGTGCTGCTCTCAGGAAACTCATTGTGGAGACCTAGGAGCTCCCAGTTCACAGTCCATTAGGAACAGGAAAAAGGTGAGGACATTTATAAAGTGACCCCTAAGTCCAAAGTAAAGTGGTATATACTGTTTCCAGTGATAAAGCCTAGCTGGTAAGTCAGGAAAGCTCTTGTCAGACTGCGTGTGCTTTTGCAGGCTGCTACAAATTCTTTCAGGAGTGAGGTGGATGTAAGTGAAGATGTGGCAATCAGAAGAGAGTTGGTTGCCATGTCTCCTTCCTCCATGCTGATGTCAAGGTGTATGGGCTGTGCTCTCTTCCAGCCAGCGTCCCATGTTCAGTGGCCCCAGAAAAGTCAGTGTGTAGGCCTCAGCCACCCCAGGTCCGACGTACGTTCTCCCTGGACACCATCCTCAGCTCCTACCTTCTGGGCCAGTGGCCACGAGATGCTGATGGGGCCTTCACCTGCTGTACCAATGACAAGGCCACCCAGGTAATGAAGCTCTCTCCTAATGGGATAAGGGATAAGGATGGGGCAGGAGGTTGGCCGCGGAGGCTTTGGTCTACTTATCTACTCTCAGTCATTGAAATGATTTGTCCTGGGTTTGGGTTGTGCATATTCACCATGTAGCTTTTCATCTCATAATATTTACCAGCTTGTTGTTATTGTTGTTTTGGTAAACTTACATGAAAATGAGTTTGCATTCCACCTGTCTGGTGGAAGAGAGAAGTCAATCTGGATTTTTCAGTTTGGCTTTGAGTATTCATGTGTAGGTAATCAACAGCTGGCTTTGGAATTTATCCTAGGTTTTAAAAAATGAGATTTACCTTGCTAAAATTAAACTGGGGCCAACATTCAATTGAGTTTACAATCCCAAGACAACCGGAAGAAGGGGCCAAAAAGTGTGCTCAGCCAAAATAGATCCCATTGGAGTAATAGGAGTGGAGAGTTCTCAGATAATGGAGAGTTATTCCTTGGCAGCAACCCAGCCTAGGATTTCAGTGGACCCATTTGAGTCCTGTGGAGCCCAGGTTCCTCTCCATCAGTATTTTTCTTTCGGACAGTCTTTTCATTAAGAATCTAAGCTTGGAAGGAATTTTCACAGATCTCCAGTCCATTTATCAGTTTTTGGGTAAGATAGTATTAGCCTGAGCAAAAAGTCATCTCACACATGATATGATACAAAGTTATTTCTTAATCTGATTCAGGACTTCAACGTTCTTAGCAGTTAAACTGATGGGCAAATCTCCTTTTGATGCAGCTTTAACCCATTCCTGTTTAACTTCAGAACAAATTAGTTGTTCTTAGATAAAGAGAAACAATGTAGAAAACACAGTAGGCTGAGAGTCAGCCCTTCATTCTGGGTAATTTTGGGTGAGTCAGCTCTTCCTTTGCAAGCAGGGTGGAGTGTGCCTACTCTGCCTACTTGTAGGTGACTTGATGGCCAAGTGATGTGTGAAAGTGCTCTGTGCAGGTCACTTTACTCTTCTGGGCATATCATATCAGTTCCTTATTTTTTATTTATTTTATTTGAGATCTGTTTTTCATATGTTTCTAGTGAATGTTTGAATGCTCTGTACTGTTCTTGGCATGTTGAAATGGAGAATAAGGAAATGAGGACAAGATTTGGCTTCTAGGAGTCTGGATTCCAGTTCCATGAAGGCCAACAAGTAGACAGCCAAGGGATAAGAGGGGGCCAAATGTCTGGCAAAGGTTAGAGGAGGGTAATTCTCATGGGAATACCCCATCTTGAACTAAGAAGAATTTGCTGTATTTAAAATTGATGGCCCTCTTTATATCTATGAATAGAATGAGAAGGGAGCATACACTCCAAATAGCAGACAGAGTGGGCCTACTTCCTGGGAGCCTGGGGCACTGATGTTCCCTCTATCCTTTGAACAGGGCAAGTAGGATAGATTATGCTTTCCCCTTATGGGCCTGAGAGCACACACCCCTTTTTCTTTTGAGGGGAGTGCTCAGTCCAAATAATATGTCTAGTCAAGGAGGGCTTCCTGGAGGAGCAGGTCTTGAGATTGCTTTGAGTATGTAAGCTCATGATTGCATCCACCTTTGTCAGAGGTCAGGCTTCTGTGTAGCCCACCTATCCCCATCCCTGTCATTTCCTGCTGCTGTCCTTCTAGGAAGGCACCATCCCACTCTTGAAATAGCTCTCTCTTTGTCAACTCAAGGCAGGGTTGGCCTTAGATGTTCCCTTGCCGGGTTGAGAGACATGAGCTCTAGGCTGTGTGTTTTTGCTCAGGCTCCAGCTGCAGGCCAGATCTTTTATATAACAAGTCTGGGCTTCTTGCCACAGCAAGACAGAGGTCAGCGATGTGCCTCCGTGGGTCTGGCAAGGCCGAGCCATGCAGCTTTCCTCTTTTCCCTGGGATGGGCTCCAGCCCTCGAGGAACTCTTAGCAACCTGTCAATATTGTGGCTGCAGTCAGGAGGTGGGAGAATTCTGATCAACGTCGGCATCCAAACAAAAATATGCACTCTGTCCAACTTTCATTCCTGGTCTTCTGGGAATTTTCTGCTTCTAGGTTTTGGGCTCTATTTAAATTCCTGCTTGAGCCCCCAGGCCTGGCACAAGCCACCTTCTTCAACACTGGTATTACACTGTGAGGGCCAGAGGCTCTCCTGACATCTCCCTAAATAATTGGATTTCCTTCCCTACTAGCACTGGGATGTCACCCGGAGAGGACTGGAGATGAAGGAGAGGTTTTACTGGGGAGATACAAGGGAGTGTGGGAAAAGGTAGAAGGAAGGGAAGGAGGCAGGATCTACCAAGTCCTTGAAAACTTGTAACCTGTTAAAAATGGATTGATACCAGAACCTTTCCCTAGTTTCTTTGAACTAGAAGGGGGCTATTCCCACCCTTACCCCCACCTTCTACCCTTTCTCTTCTAGCCAACCTAGTGTAGTAGTTTATTTTCTGGTACCTCCACCATAACTGGCAGGCACTCATTACTGCTCTCTTACTTGCCTAACCCAGCCCCTCAACCCCCACCCCAAACCAGCAGCCAGATTATGTGTTTGGAGACCACATCAGCCTGGCACTCCGAAGGGCATGCCTCACAGTGAGTCAGAAGCCATAGTTATGGTTTAGGCTAAGCAGCTTCTTCCTCTGAAACCCCTACAGGAGGCAAGGGTTCTGCCCACTCCAAGAAAGTTTCAGACTTGGGCAGCAAGCACAGAACACCTGCCATTTAGAGAGCTGGGCATGCTGTGTACTTGAGGCTTCTCCACAGGGCAGAAGATGGAGCTAATAGCTGTCAGTTTTTGAACATATCCCTGTACTGTCAACAATCCCAGTATTCCCTTCCTGGCTGTGTCTAAAGCTCTTAGGCAGGTACAAATGATAAAGGACAATCTTCAGGCAATTTACAGTCTGACATGGAGAAATGGGTACCCAAATAATTGGGGCAAAGGAAGAAGAGGAGTGTGGATGGATCCTATTTGGCAAACTGGATGTTCTAGGAAGGAGGAGGAGGGGTGAATGTAGTAGTTGGGGAAGAAGTGCTGCATGTGAGCCAGGAGGAACAATAGGAGAGGGATGGCCAGGTCTCCCAGAGACTAGCCTGTTACCTGCAAGGAAGAGTTTAGAGTAACTTCCAGGAAAGGCTGGGAAGGCTCCAGTGCAGATCACCATCATCTGCAGGTTTCTTTGTGTCTTGCAGGACTTTATCAGGATTCCCTAGGTCTATCTGAATATGTTTTCCCCTCTCTGGACCACCCTCCCCTAAGTCAGTTGGTAAACCAGAGCTGGCCACCAAGTGCTTTGGGCTGGCCCCTCCTAGTGGCTGGGCCCGGGCTTGGGCCAGTGATGGCAGCACATACTGGTGGCTGTGGTCTCCCCTCTCTCTTTTTGCTGTGCAAAGCATTCGAGTCTTCTCATACTCTTCTGAAGGGAGGAAGTGGCTTCACCACAGCTGCAATGACTGTTTGAGCAAAGTTCCCCTGCTTATATCTTGTCAACAGATGGGAACCTGGTACCTGCCCTGTGCAGCCCCACCCCATTCTACTCATCCCCAGCCCTGATTCCGCTGCTTTCTCCAGGTGAGGTGGGAAGCCTCTATTATGCAATTTTTATTTTTCTTTAGCCTTGACTTACTTTTTTGAAAAAAAAAAAAAAAAAAACCATCGCTTAGGTCCTTGACAAACCTCATGGAGTGTCATGAAGGTCAGAGGCAGAGATGGGCGTGCTGGTTGGGAAGACTTCCCTTTCTGTATCTTTTCCCTACCTGTGTGCTGTCCTCCCCCTTTTCCCAAGCCAGTGCCTCCACATTCAGTGATGACACACAATTGAGTCTGGCCATCGTGGGCCTTTTTAAAATGTTTTTCTCTGTGGGTTTGGGGGCCTGGGCACATTGCCTATTTTCCAAACTGGCAATCAGGACCAGTTGCTCAGCATATGGTGTGACAGCAGCACTGAATATTTGAAAACGGGACCATGATGGAAAATCTGAGGGTTGCATAGTCACTGTAGGGCCAGAGATGGTGGCCTTGGCCACCTGCAGCCAGAATTCTCAGTGCTGGCCAGCGGACCACCCTCAGAGCCTTTTCCTTCCTTTTGGTTTGGCCAGAGCCCTAAGGGACTGATTCCCTGCTGAATTTTAGTTCAACATGTAGTTACTGACCATCTACACCAGGCCAGGCACCATGCTGCTCTTTGCTTCCGCACAAGTATAGTGGGTTGTGTTCTCAGAGTCCAGTCTAGCTCTGCATGTGGAGCTTGCTCAGGTGCCAAGGTCACTGGACACAGCGAAGGCCAGCAGCCTCTGGTCATGGAGTGCAGGTAGAAAAGTAGTTGGTTAGGGGGCCGAGAAAAAGGTTCCTGTGTGGAGGGTTTTAGCTCCATCCTGCTCCTCCTCGTTATAGTAGGCGGCTCTTTGGGAAGCTGTCGCCCACCCCCATACCCAGTTACCCTTCCACATGTTGCTCTGGGATCTCAGAATCCCAGGTAAGACCTCCTTGGTCTAACCATGTCCAGTTGTGCACAACCTAAGTGTCATCTGCACACCTGGCTGATGCCACTCATAGTCCAGTCCTGCTTCTACCTTACCTATTCCCCCAGGCTGGGGTGTTAAATGAGTCTGTTCCAGTGCAGAAGTCCCTGTGACAAACATGACATTTTTAGCCTGCTGAGCTCCAGTGCTACCCTGCTTCCAAAGGGTCACCTAGAATGACTATGAACAGTGCTGCCACACAGCATGGCTTGACACCTATTGTGGCCAAAAGGGTAGTACTATGCAGGGTAGCCCTCCTCAGCTGTGACTTTTCTGTGCTCCCAAGGGACCTTGGTTGAAACCTCCATGATGAGACCCAAAGAGGAGAGTCCTGTCCATCCAGGAACACTGAAAATAAGGGGGGCATGGTCCCCCCTCCTGACACTCCCAGCTCACACCTACATACACACCTGCCTGGCATTGACAGCATGTAAACAGCTTCAGACACAGGATAACCTACCATATGAGGTTCCTGAGGCTGCTT